GAGAACATGGCTACAGAACCTGGCTGGAGAACCTAGCGAGAGAACATGGCTATAGAACCTGGCTGGAGATCCTAACCAGAACTTCGCTGGACATCCTGACCAGAACTTGGCTAGAGATCCTGGCTAGGCTGCTGATCAACTGAACGCTGTCTCCGTGTCATTCCTTCTTCGCCGACTCTGTTGACACCTTTGGGGACCCCTGGACCTGCTGGGGTTGGACCCCAGCAAGTGTTGGTCTGTGCTGGAGTGAAGAATCAGAACGTGGCTGAGAGTGACGCAGGTGATTTCTATTTTAAGTGGAGAGAATGGCCACCAGGACAACAGTCCCCATAGTCCCACCTCTATCAGGATTTTACAAAACATAAAACAAGGTCATCTCTCTCTGTGGGAGTTTGAATTCTACAAGATGTCATTGGTTTTATGACTTTGTTTCCTACCAGGGGAATCAGACAAAAAGAGAGTGTAAGGCTCACACAAAGTTTTCTCCCCAATACTGTCCAAGCCAAATTTCCCTGGTCTCCCCAACCCCTCCAACTCCCCCAAAACAATAACAAAAAAATTTCTCTGGTCCCTTGACACCAGTTCCTTTCCTGACAACACAATGATTGCTTATGCAATGAGAGGGGTAGTATAGGAAAAGAACATCACCAGGAGATAGAGGATAAAATGAGCCCTCAGCCTCTTCTCTTTGTCCCAAGGGCTTCTAGATCAACTGTTCATGGGGGCAAGGAGACCAGTCAGATACTCTTCTCTTTGGGGCCTGTATCTCCTTGGATAACCCCCTGGCCCATTCCCAGATTTCCTGCTCCACTCCCTCTGCCCCACGTTGTTCATCAAAAATTTCATGCCTAGAAGTTATGCATCGGCTAGAGAAAACATATGTGTCCTCGCCTTTCTCCTTTAACTCTTATTTTATTAAATTTTTATTTTAAAATTAGATTAATTTTCCAGCTTTACGGAGGGACAATTGACATGTAACATTGTGTAAGTTTAAGGTGTAAAATGTAATGATTACCACAGCAAGTTTAGTTAACACCCATCACCTCTCATAGTTACAATTTTTATTTTGTGGTGAGAGCTTTAAAACCCTACTCTCTTAGCAACTTTCCAATATACAATGTGGGATTATTAACTAGAGTCACCATGCTGTACTCATTAGACCCCCCAGAACTTATTCGTCTCATAACTGGAAGTTTGTACCCTTTGATCACTTTCATCTATTTCTCTCACCCCCAACCCTTAGCAACCGGCAATCTGTTCTCTGTCTCTATGACTTTGGCTCCACATATGAGGAAATAATTTGGTAGTTGTCTTTCTCTGTGACTTATGTCACTTGGCATAATGGCCTCAAGGTCCATCCATGTTAACACAAATCATAAGGTTTTCTTCAAGTCTTATTTTCTGAACTGAAAGGAAAAGGAGCAAACAAATTTTATTACGTCTATGTCTGGCTACTACCCTTCCTATCTTTATGAGTTTGAACAGAGAATGGGAAAAGGCAATGGATTAATTAAAAGTGTTTTTTTTGGCCCAGCCAGCATGACTAAGTGGTTGAGCGTCAACCTATGAACCAGGAGGTCACCATTCAATTCCCAGTTCAGGGCACATGCTTGGGTTTTCTCTCATCTTTGATGTTTCTCATTCTCTCTCTCTCTCTCTTCCTTCCTCTCTGAAAAAAATTTTTTTTTTCTGACTGAGTTCTGTAGTCTTAACCGCTAATACCAGCCTTCTATGCAGAAATAAATATTATATCTCAGTTCAAATTTCACAGATATAGGAGGTACCTGCATTTAAAATAATTTCATGCACTAGTATCATGCTGCCCAAGAAAAAAAGCCCGGATGTAATCTGAAATTTTCTACTACCCCTATTAAAAAAGGTGAAAAAAACAAGTCAGATTAATTTTAATGATATCTTTCATTTAATTCACTATATTCAAAATAGTTATTTTTTATTTATAGATTTAATTGATTACATAATAGATTTACATTTTAATTCAAATATAGGGTAAAATATTGTAAATATTTTATTAGTGTGCCTATTTAATGTGTTGCATCCCTACAGAGCATCTGGTTCTGACATAATTCTGTAGGATGCTGTTCCAGTTCCCTTTCTTTTAATATGTCAATATAAGTCAACATGTGTAATCTATATCAAAATTATTAAGAAGATAGTTTGCATGTTTTTCTGTCTAAGTTTTTGAAATCTAGAGATACAAAGTCTTCAGAATACTGCCTTTGAAATCTCAATCCAGACCCACCACATTTGATTTTAATTAATTAATTAACTAAATAAGTATTTAATTAAATAATTAAATAATTAAATATTTTTGTGGAATGTGGGGCAAATGGTTAACATAGCAAAGCAAATTGCAAACTATTATCTTCCTTGGTTTTTATTTATTTTATTTTTTTAAAAATATTTTTATTGATTTCAGAGAGAAAGGGTGAGGGAGAGATAGAAACATCAATGATGAGAATCACTGAGCAGCTGCCTCCTGCATGCCCCCCACTGAGGATTGAGCGCACGACCTATATGTCCTGACCAGGAATCCAACCGTAACCTCCTGGTTCATAGGTAGATGCTCAACCACTGAGCCATGCTGGCTGCGCTTCCTTTGGTTTTTATTTTTTTAGTTTTATTTTTTAAAAATATATTTTATTGATTTTGTAATGATTACCACAGCAAGTTTAGTTAACACCCATCACCTCTCATAGTTACAATTTTTATTTTGTGGTGAGAGCTTTAAAACCCTACTCTCTTAGCAACTTTCCAATATACAATGTGGGATTATTAACTAGAGTCACCATGCTGTACTCATTAGACCCCCCCAGAACTTATTCGTCTCATAACTGGAAGTTTGTACCCTTTGATCACTTTCATCTATTTCTCTCACCCCCAACCCTTAGCAACCGGCAATCTGTTCTCTGTCTCTATGACTTTGGCTCTTTTAGATTCCACATATGAGTGAAATAATTTGGTAGTTGTCTTTCTCTGTGACTTATGTCACTTGGCATAATGGCCTCAAGGTCCATCCATGTTAACACAAATCATAAGGTTTTCTTCAAGTCTTATTTTCTGAACTGAAAGGAAAAGGAGCAAACAAATTTTATTACGTCTATGTCTGGCTACTACCCTTCCTATCTTTATGAGTTTGAACAGAGAATGGGAAAAGGCAATGGATTAATTAAAAGTGTTTTTTTTGGCCCAGCCAGCATGACTAAGTGGTTGAGCGTCAACCTATGAACCAGGAGGTCACCATTCAATTCCCAGTTCAGGGCACATGCTTGGGTTTTCTCTCATCTTTGATGTTTCTCATTCTCTCTCTCTCTCTCTTCCTTCCTCTCTGAAATAAATAAAAATGATCTGTAACCTCCTGGTTCATAGGTCGATGCTCAACCACTGAGCCATCTGGCTGTGCTTCCTTTGGTTTTTAAAAAAATCTCTTCTAAGGTCTCTTTTATTTCCCTAAAATTCCTCTTAATTTTTCACTCTATCCTAATCTCTTCTCTACTATGCTCTCTCAACTCTACTTCTCCATCACCCATATACCATTTCTCTTTTTCTATAGAGCATTTTTCTTGCTCTTGGCACCTCTACTGTGTATACTGATCAGGAGTTAGCAAGCTATGGTACCTTATGACTACGTGACACTCACCATCCCTCACTTATCTTTCCTCCTTATCCCATCTTAATCCATTTCTTTTATCTCCCTCTCATAGGATAATCTGTACCACTTTGGAGGTATCATCGAATTGGTCATTGACCAGTGGTAGTGGCAAATGAAGGGAATTCCCTAAAATTCCTCTTAATTTTTCACTCTATCCTAATCTCTTCTCTACTATGCTCTCTCAACTCTACTTCTGTTTTTTTATAGAGCAATTTTTCTTGCTCTTGGCACCTCTACTGTGTATACTGATCAGGAGTTAGCAAGCTATGGTACTTTATGACCACGTGGCACTTGCCATCCCTCACTTATCTTTCTTCCTTATCCCATCCTTTCTCCTTACTTTTTGTTTCTGTATTCAATCATCATGATCCATTTCTTTTATCTTCCTCTGATAGGATAATCTGTATCACTTGGGACTAGAGGTATCATCGAGTTGATCATTGACCAGTGGTAGTGGCAAATGAAGGGAACCCCTTTCACCTGCTACTCCTTTATCCCCCTTTCCTCCATCTAGACTCTGATAAATAGAAGCAGTTTCTGCTGTACACTAATTATTCATTAGTGAGGTGTGGTGAGAGATTGGGGAAGCAAGGTTTAGGATAGTCTAGATCAGTGGTAGGCAAACTGCAGCTCAGCAAACCGCGGCTCGTGAGCCACATGCGGCTCTTTGTCCCCTTGAGTGTGGCTCTTCCACAAAATACCGACTTCTGTGCATGGACCACGAAGTTTCAATCAGACTGTAAGTGTACACCCGCATGTGGGTTTTTGTGGAAGAGCCACACTGAAGGGGCCAAAGAGCCGCATGTGGTTCGCGAGCCGCGGTGATGATAAATGCCAACAACAAAGTTCCTGTCTTCAAGGATCACCCAGTATAGTGAAACCCACCACATTTTAAATGCTTAATAGCTACAGGTAGCTCCTGGCTACGAAATGGGGCAGCGCAGGTCCAGAATCACTGACTGGGAGGCTATGCATTTGTTCCATCTACGTCTGTGAAACCCAAGCAAGTCCAAATAGCAGGCTTGACCCACCTTCAGGTGCTGAAAACTCAGAATCACAGGCCTGGAGAGAGATGTGTTCCTTTTGGGTCCAATAGCAGCGCTGACTACCTGGGAGTTCAGGTAAACTCGATCTTCCTCATTCATCTCGACAAAAAAAGTTGCATTTATGATATTTCCAAGAGAAGAGTATGAAATAAAGACAACTGCACTGGGACCTGAGGAAACAGAAAAATAAAGTGCCACCACCATTCCTTCTGCCCCCTTTCCTGCCCCATACATATCATGCTCCCACGATGGTCACACCTGTGCTTGGGTGTGCCTAGTAAGTTCACTCTTCCTCTCATGCTCCTCCTCCCCAAATGCAAGTATTAACAGGATCTGCAGAGGGAGAGGTTGTTCTGATTCCAAGAATTGATTTGTCCCCATCTGACACTGGCCTCCCATTTAAATTGATTCAATGACAGTTTCCCGTGATGCCAGCATTTGTGATGACTATTAATAAATCACCAGGACAAACTCTAGACAGAATAGGCATATTCCTACCTGAACCTGTTTCGCACATGGTCAGTTATATGTTGCTTTCTCTCAAGTTCGAAGAGCATGTGACGTTCAAGCTAAAGTTCTAAATACTTCAGCACAAGGAAAATTAGTCAAGCACTCTGAAAGTGTTTTCACTCTTAATGTGGTGTACAGGGAGATATTTGAATAAGTTGAATCACTTTATCAGTCATTGTTTGCATCACTGTTGTTTTTATATCATGTTTTTGTCATTTTTATATCATGCCTCTGTTGTTGTTATATCCTTTTGTTATTGTTTATTTATTAATAAATTTATATGTTATTTTCATATACATTTTGCTAATTTCCTTTCATCTATCACACTTCTATTATAGAGAAAGGGCAAATAGAAATATTAAAATGAAATTAATTAGCAGAAATATTTTAATAGGTCATAATCTTTTGATAATAAATCTGGAATATGTGTGAAAATCTCCATCGAGTATATCCAAAATTTCTTCATTTGATTTTTGAACATGCTCATTTTTTGGACAAAGAATTGCACATTTAGATATATTTTTAATATTATCTATAGATATAGTATTTCCAAAGGTTGCTTCAATAATAGATCAATTACAAATCAGTTCACAGGGGATTTTAACAATATCCATTCCTAAATGAAAACTGGCATCAAGTTTGCAATCTCCAAATTTTACTAACCATTCAATATAAGCAGAATCCTCTGATCTCATATTTGTTGTAAGAGACAACTTTCTGAAACATCCCCAAACATTGCAGTACTTTAAACTCGTTTGTACTATGGCCGATCGCATAGCATGCGGTACAATACTGAGACACTGTTAAAAATCCCCTCCGAGAAGGAGAACTTTCCTACCAAATACAACATTCAAATTTCTCTTAGTAATCTATGGCGTTTATAGCATGACTGGATGCCATGGTGCATTCATCAATAATGAGAAGTTGGGCCTTTTTAATAGTTTTAGCAAGTTCACTGTTTATATTGAGTCTAGAAATTGATGTTTCATTGAGTGGAATGGGTAATTTATATTGGGAATGAAAGGTGCTTCCACCGAGAAGTAAATTTGCAGCAATTCCTGTAGACGCTGTGGGTAAAACAGTACTACCACGACCTCTAATATACTGTATGAAAACTTTATAAAGATATGCCACCACGCTCTGAGGGCCAGTTCCTGCCTCAAACCTCGCCCTTACCAGAAACAGCTCGGGGAGGGCGCAACTGTTGTTAAGAGGACCCAGGACTCAGTGCAGCCATGCTCTGAGGGCGGGTTCCTGCCTCAAACCTCACTGCCCTCTCAGGAAACAACTCGGGGAGGGTGCAGCCATTTCCAAGATGACCCCTGCAGGACTGACTTCCTTCTGATTGGTCGAGCCTCAGTCATGACGTTACACCCAGGGTTTTATATAAATAGATATTTCCATGTCAATAAGTACTCATTATTTTTTGTGCTGCTGAGAAGTCCATGTGGCAAAGAGGCCGCATATAGCGAGTATTTAAGATTTTAGGGGAAAGAACTGGGTTTCTGCATTCAAATCCTAGTTTTTCCCGTGACTAGCTGTGCAGTTTTTCTAATCAGATTTCTCTGGCCTCACTCAAGAGATCAGAAGTAGGAGAGCCACTTGTTTCTTTAAATTAAAGTCAACTTCTGTTTTCAGAATGAAACACTAGTATATGGTTAGAAAACAGAGGCAGGTGATATACTCGCCTGTTTTTATGCTTAGAAGTTGCTTATTTTTCATCTGAAATATCCTGGCATAAGAGCAAATCACAAGAAGGAAAGAGAAGAGTGGCTGTAGAGGTTTCCAAGGTTGGTCTCCATGGCCTTGTGGGTTTATTCAGTGATATGTTTTATGGGAGGAAGGGTGTGTTACATCTATAATTACCTATAAAGTCCCAGTTCACACCTGGTGTCCTGGGGTAATTTAATAGTACCCCCTTCCAATTTTAAAATTGTCACTGTTTGAAGATAATTTATAAGATTACTGTAGACCAGCAGTTCTCAACTGAGGGTGATTCTGCCCCCTTCAGGGAACACAGGGCACTGTCTGGAAGCATATTTGGTTGTCACAACTGGGGGGTTGCTATTGGCATCCAGTGGGCCAAAGCCAAGGATATAGTGCTCAAAACACTATGGGCCCCACCCCAGAGAATAACCTGGCCCCATATGTCAATAGTGCTGAGGCTGGGAATCCAAGCAGAACCTGAAGGACAGAGAAATGTCTCTTATGAGTTTGTCACACATCCATCAATGGGTTCTTTTTTCTCATTAGTAATGTTAAGGCTTCAGCCTAACAGTGGATTTAATTTGACGAGCTTTTGTTATTGTTTGCCAGATATAGTACCTATAGAGAAAGAATTAATGGTTCCAGCCCTGAAAGGAACCCCAGTACAATGAAGGAGACAGGGCTGTGTCAATCAACAGATACAACACAACATGGTAGATGCCAAGATAAGGTAGGTTCATGCTGGGGAGGGATGGCCTGACTCTGGTGCTGTGATGGAAGTGGGCAGTCCTGGGAGGTGAAAGTTGAGCTGTATTAAAAGAAGAGTCAAAGTTCACCCAACAAAGTGATGGTTGTCATTCCTGGCAGGGAAACAGCCAATGCAAATGCTTGGAGATGAGACCACAGAGCCCATTAGGGGATGATAAATAGTCTCCTGCTGGGCACATCTGTGCCAGGTACTCCTCAAAGCACATGGAATCCCACTGTGATGCATATAATTTATTTAAGCCATCAGCATAGACAGCTGTTCTGGGCTGAGCTGTGTCCTCATGAATCTACATGTTAAAATCCTATGCCCCAGTACCCCAGGGAGCAAACTGGGCTGAAGATGTGATTTGGTAGCCTGTACTGTGTGAAGTCTTGCGCTCTCTACAAATTGTGAATTGCAGAGGAATCCCATGACAATGCATGTGTGAAATTATGTGATTGGAGGTTGACTCTCCTCCTCTGCCTGGTCCATTCACACAGATGGAGGCAGATTCAAGTACTTATCTTCTTGAGGGAGGAAAGTGACAGGAACTGATTGTCTCATGAGATTGTCTCAGATCAGAATGCAGTTTGTTGTCTATGTTTTACTTTGGGAGTTCTGATGGACAGTACAGACAACTGTATCCATATTTGCATGATTGGATTTCAAGACCCCATTTATCTTGCTATAGCAGTTTTAGCTAAGTATTCTTGCAAAATTGAAAAATTAAAGGTTTTCATGCCAACAACTCAATTTTTGGTTTCTCTTGGAAAAAAACCAGAGAGTCTTGGCAGTTACAAAATAGTTACAGGTATGTAAAGTCCAGCATAGGGAATGTAGTCAATAATGTTGTAATAACCATGTATGGTCAGGTGAATATTAGACTTATCAGGGGGATCACTTTGTAAGTTACGTAAAAGTCTAACCACTATGCTGTACACCTAAAACTAATATAATCCTGAATGTTAACTGTAGTTGAAAAAAAAAAAGTAAAAAAAGTGACCAGATAATGTGAATCAAATAAAGCTGAATTCATTTCTAACTGCCCTTCACCCCTCCCCGCCAAAAAAGTCAGAGTCTGGTAACACTGGGACAATGAATAGTAACAATCTACTCCTTTGTATGCAGATGCTGTAGGCACCCTGACTTTATTCCTTGGCACTCTTGGTTTCTTTATATGCTGATGGATTTTACTCAGGCAGCTGAGACTCTGCCTGGGAGCTTTCCGTGAGAGAATGTGTTTGGTCTGCACTCAGGGCAGTATGGAAGGGTCTGGAAATGAACTCCCCAAGTGGGTCCTCAACCAGTGATGAATCAGCGCAGTTGGATAAATGGCCCAACTCCTCCTTTAGTGGGACAACTCAGTGGGATTGAGCTCCAGTTACCACCAGCAGGAACCTGTTCACTAACATAACAATCCCTGTATTGGCTGCCTTTTCTCCCCTCACTTCCTCTCTCCACAACTTGAGTAGGTAATTTTCTGTTAACGTGGCAAATTCATGGTACACAGATATTTGGTCAAACATCAGTCTGAATGTTGCTGTGAAGCTATTTTTTAGATGAGATTAATATCTATCTATCTATCTATCTATCTATCTATCTATCTGCATCCTTTAAAATTTTTTGTTTTTGCTTGAATTCTTATAGTATTCTTATAGTTATTTTATTTTTAAAATTATATTTATTGGGGTGACATTGGTTAATAAGATTATATAGGTTTCAAGTGTACATTTCTGTGACACATGATCTGTATATTGCATTGTGTACCCACCACCCAAAGTCAAATCATCTTCTGTCACCATATATTTGGCCCCCTTTACCTTTTACTATCTCCCACCCCCTTTCCCTCTGGTAACCACAGTACTGTTTGTGTCTGTGAGTTTCTGTTTTATATCCCACATATGAGTGAAATTATATGGCTCTTACCTTTTTCTGACTGACTTGTTTTGCTTAGCATAATATTCTTAAGGTCCATCCATGGATAAAGATGTAATACATGAGTACAATGGAATGCTACTCAGCCATAAGAAGAGTTGAAATACTGCTATTTGTGACAGCATGAATGGATCTTGAGATTAACGCTTAAATAGTTAGGCTTGAGTAGATTATCCTCCACTTTATGGGTGGGCCTCATCCAATCAGTTGAAAGTCTTAAGGAAAAGACTGACCTCCCCTGAGGAAGAGGGATTTGTCTTCAGACTGTCTCTGGACTTGAGCTACAACATCAGCTCTTCCCTGGCTATATTTTAGACTTGTCAGCCTCCACAATAACATGAGGCAATTCCTTGAAATCTGTCTCTGTCTCTCTTCACACACATTCTATTGGTTTCTCTGGAGAACTCTGACTAATACACTTACTGCTGCTTCCTTGGATCACCCCCTAAATGAACTTCTTATGCTGGAACCCCTTACAATTCTTCTAGAAAGTGATTCTGGGTGAACCCAACCTGAGACATGGATGGAGCAGCCGCCAAATTACAAAGAAGTCTATTCCATGCAGAAGAATAAAAAGCTTCCACTTTGGGAAGATGTCTTTTTTTTAGGCTAGACTCAACTGACACAATCTTAGGGTAACAAACCCATCAAGTAGGAACTTATTGGGGAATGTTTCCTTATGACTCACACAGAGATATTGCTGTGTGTGTCTTAGGGATTCTGAATGCAGCCACCACATGTACCTTGTAGGTTTCCCTGGATGATGTCATTGCAATGGATGTCCAGTGAGTTCATTTGGGCGTTCAAGTTGAAGATGTTTCTTTCCTTGGAGCAATTGTCTGTAACAACTCGAGTTTCAACAGCTGGTAAGAAAAGTGCCAGGCAAGCTTACCGTTACTATAAGTTTTAAAAAATGTGCACAGCAACAAAAACAGGCCACATTTACTGAATGTGTAGGGCAGTGATGGCGAACCTTTTGAGCTCAGCATGTCAGCATTTTGAAAAACCCTAACTTAACTCTGGTGCCGTGTCACATATAGAAATTTTTTGATATTTGCAACCATAGTAAAACAAAGACTTATATTTTTGATATTTATTTTATATATTTAAATGCCATTTAACAAAGAAAAATCAACCAAAAATATGAGTTCGCATGTCATAGGTTTGCCATCACTGGTGTAGGGGATGCCAGGCACTGGGCTAAGAGCCTGATACATTGTCATCTTATGACAGCATCATATAACCCCATGAAGGACCATTATTTAGATGAGGAAACTGAGGTTCAGAATTAGGGGTCCTCTCCAAGGCTTAAGGTTATGATGGGGGTGTAGGTAAATGTGATACTCAAATCCTCCCACAATCACATCAAAAGCACTACTAAACTACTGACAATTATCATTCAGAACCATCTGAAATGTAGCTAAACGGAACTCCTATAACTAAGGATTTAAGGAATAAGCCACATTGAGACTGGTAGGAGGGGTAGAGATGTGGAATGGGCTGGTCCCACACCCACGTGTGGTGGATAAAAATCAGGAGGGGTATCTCGGTTGCAGAGGTCACCCCTGAGAACTCCAAAACAGGCTCCTCATTTCAGGGATCCAGTGCTGTGAAGAGAAGTTTCCATAACTTCTGGTTGTAAAAATCAGCAGGGATTGTGACTGAGTAAGACCAAGGGCTTCTGGAGTCCCAGGCAGTTCCTCTTAAAGGACCTGTGCATGGACTTACTCAGACTCACTCATTCTGAGCTCCAGAACTGGGGCAGCAGCTTGAAAGGCACCAGGGACATACAAAGAGGAACTGAAGTGTCTGGCATCCGGGTGAGCTGGAGGGGCAGCGTTCTCCCAGACAGAAGTGTTGGCAGAGGCCATGGCTCCTTTTCTGAGCCCTCTCCTCACAGAGCCAGTAGGCAGGCACCATATCTGAGTTTTCATAAACCTGGCTATCACTGTTCACCCTGCCCTGGTGATTCCCTGAGACCCTGCCTCACCACTTGTGGACCCACCCAAGCTGTTTCCAGTGGCTTTTCCATACAAATGGCCTGTCTTGGCTCATGCTTCAGACTTTCCTGAAATCTCCCAAATAAGCAGCATCTGGTCTCTGAAGCTCACTGCGGTGAGGGCACTGTTACCTGATTAAACAATTAGAACCTGGCCAAATCAGGAAAGATGAGAATTATTTGTAATTTGGAAAATGGTTCAATTGATAATGAAAGTGTCCAGATTTCAGTTTCCCAAGATGGTTAGGTACTAGATTTTCTTTTACCATTTAAATGTATTTTCATTATTATTATTTTTATAGAGCATAAAAATATTTTATCAACTAAGTTGGTAAAACAAAAATGGTTCGTTAGGCATACACCAATCCTTTGATATCCCTGAGCCGAATAAAACACAACAAATATTTCTGGAGGCCCATATAGTGATATATATCAAAAGTCTAAAGTGTTTTCTGTGTTTTCTCCCCTTGACCTAACAACTCCTCCTTTATGAATTCATCCTAAGAAAATATCAAAAAATACAAACAGATAAATTTTTAGTGGTCTTTATCACAGGATTGTTTGGCATAACCCCACATTTCCCAGAATAGGAAAATAAATTATGGCACACTCATACAATGCAACACTATAAGTCACTGAAGACAATAATGTAGGTAATGATGCTGTCTGCAGTTTTCATGGAAAGATGTTAGTGAGATAATGAGTGAAAAAAACAGGTTTTGTGGAACTGTATGTAAAAGATAGCATACACAACAGATATGTGTCCTCCCCATCACACATGTACCTAACTAGGTATAGGATTGGAAGACTGGGATATGGGCAGATTTGGTTGGTCTAAATTAGTTTTGTTTATGTATTTTCCTAATTAAAAATTTAATACTTGGTTTTGCTGTGGTATTTTATTTTAAAAAAGAAAAATTGTATATATTTAAGGTTTACAGTATGATAATTTTACACATATATACCTAGTGAAATGACAACCATAGTCAAGCTAATTAACATGTCATTTCACATGGTTGTGTAATATGTGTGACAAGTGCAATAAAAGGATTTTCATTTAAAAATATCTCATAAGATCTTCCTTCTACATGTGTTATTAAGTTATGTAGGCACAAGATTTAAAGATACTTTTTAAGCCCAAATCCCAGACCCAGGATTGGAAACTACTGAGAATCTTTTTTTTTTTTTTTTTAGCAGTTCTATGGAGGTGTAATTGGTTGTACATTAGAGTGTACAATTTGATTAGTTTTATTGGTGTATACACCTGTAAAACCACAACCACAATTAAGGTAGTGAGCATTTCCATGACCCACAAGTTTCCCCAAATTTTCTCATGCCTCCTTTTCATCCCTCCACTCTCCCCTCCCTGTCACTATAGATTAGTTTGCAAATTTACAGCATTTTATATAAATTGGCTCATGCAATGTATTTACTTAGTTTCTAACTGCTTAATACAGACCCCAACTAGTAACCAGAAACCCCCCACCCCACTCCATGAGCATCAGGTCTTATTGTCTCCTTACCCACAGTATTGTTTTGAAGTTTCTGGATTTCTTGGTCTGGGGCATTCAAGGCAGTTTTTAGAACATTGGATTCCATAATCTGGAGAACAGATGTGGCCTTGGATGCAACTTCTCTCTCCTCTCTTGATTCCCACAGAGTCGTGTTGGCGAGAAGTGACTCGAAATTTTCAACAACTCGTTGTAGCTTTAAATATATAAACAACAATAACAATAATAATCCACTCTGATAGGTCCCCACAACCCCAAGGGACAGTAGAAAGCATGAGAAAGCAAGTTCTGGAACCAGAGGACCCAGTTAAAATCCTGACTCCACTATTCACTGGCTGTGTGACCTTGGTAAAGTCACTCAATTGCTCTGTGCCTCAGTTTCCCCACTTCAGGATGGGGACAGTAATAGGACCCTATGGAGTTTTTGGCAAAATTAAATGAGTTAGAAGATGCTACATGTCTGTGCCTGGTAAATACAGGACAAGGGTTAATTATCACGAACCTCTTTTACCAATAGGGAAGTGGTGTGTTTGCTCGAAATAGACCAGGTTCTCAACCTGGGCAATTTTGAGCCTCTGGGGCAAGCATGTCAAACTTGTGACCCACAATGAATATTTTTGCGGCCCAGCCAATATAACGGTTTGTTAGAAATGTTTTAATAAAAATTTTGTTACTTAATCTTTACAATATCCTGTTATACATAATTAGTAATAACAAACTACAACACTGATGACCAAGTACTATAATTGTGTTGCATTCATTACCCTTACGCGCCTTATGTGCAGGCACACCATTTCTCTACACTAATACTAGCGGCTAATATTTTAGCATCTAATTGCCATGTCATTAGTCTTATACTGACTTGTTTGGTGTGCGCAACAGTGTAGAGAGTGCCTGGGAAGGCACATCGAACATTTCTTTAATTATTGTCAGCTGAGTCCAGTGGTGTTGGCAGAGCCACATCCTGGAAACGCACCATGCCAGAGGCAGGTATGTTGTCAGCCTGACCCTTAGCTCAGGTGCCAGGGGGGGGGTTTCATTATCTAAGCTCAGCCAGGCCCAAGGAATGAACTCAATTATCCGGGCTTTTCCAGGAGTGACTATTACAAAGAAGCCACAAGAATGAAAAATTACAGCTTGATCTTTAACCATGACTATAGCTTGATCTTTAATCATGATTTCACATAATTTCCTTTGTTTTAAAATCTATTAAAGATTACTAATTTATTTCAGCCCTTTGTATTCAGCATGTCTCTATTGAAAGAAACCCACGTTTCTATGAAAATTGAAACTTTTGCTTTTATGCAGCCCACATAAACTTAAACCTTTATTTGGCCTGTGTTAGCCTTTGAGTTTCACATGCTTGCCCTGAGGCCATTTGGTAAAATCTGGAGATATTTATGGATGTCATCACTGAGGGATGCTCCTGATATCCAGTGGGTGGAGGCCAGAGATACTGCTCCACATCCTCTAATGTATGGGAAAACCCCCACAACAAAGAATGTCCCAGTCCAAATATTATCTACACTAATAAAAGACAAACATGCAAATTGACCATACATTCGCTATGCCTTAAGCCACGCCCACCAGCCAATCAGAGGGACTATATGCAAATTAAG